TTTCATTGTTGGTGCGCATTACGTCTTTGGTTGGGGGGGGGGGGGGGGGGGGGCTGGGTCAGTTTGGAACAAAAAGCGTGACGATCGCAGAGGCGTCCAAACGAAAACATTTATTGTTTTCCAAAAAGCCACACATAACCAAATATGACCCCCAAGAATTCTGGAAATAAATCAGACTATTTGTGAAATCAATAATAACCAATCAACTTTTCTCTGACTTCATCTTTTCAACATGATTCTGTTTAAATTGATCGGGGTGTGTCCAGGATTTTGGGGGGAATGTCCCTACGCGCTCCGATATGATGTCGCTCTCACGTCACTTGCCAGTAAAAGTTAACCACTGTGAAACAAAAAAATAACATTCAGAGAACCCAAACGCCAAAGAATTCCAGTCAGGGCGACAACTGCAACGTCTATCCAATTTCTGCAGCGCTTATTCTTTTCAGGGTTTTGGAAAGCTGGGGCCGCGCTGCTTGCCAGAATTCACAGGGGCACTTACAGACACAAACAACACGTTTGCACACTCATTCATCACTGAGCGGGTCGTGAACCGACACCGTCTGCACCACGACACAGCGACTCCCGCGCATTACAAGGCAAGATGAATCTTCTCTACCGCAGGAGAAATCGTCCCGTTTGTATGCTCGCGAGCCGAGGTCAGGAAAAGTCTTCCAAAGAAATGAAATGAAATGAGATCACAAGGACGGGATGCAATTTGTTTCCAATTAGTCGAGTTACCGGATCAATAATTTATTCCGTCATGGCGTAGTTCACCGTCTGTCTGATCCATCCGCTCGCCGGGGAGCGGACGAGCATCCAAAAAAAAAAAGGTAGTCCTGACTGGCCAAGTAGTCGGAGCGTATCAAGCAACGCTCAGCCTTTGTCCTTGACCGAAGTTGATTTTCGTCATCGAAGGACCTGCAGGATGATCTCAAAGCTCAAGAGAAGCACTCGGCAAATTCGTCACTGCATGTGACTACCCCGACCCGAAGGTCATACAACTGGAGACTTCGGCTAAGTGAGCATCAGCGATGACGTCGAGTGACGTCCCCACAACGCTTGATTTTGAGAATGTGCCCATACCAAGTCTTGATCCGATTGGATGCGTTTTTATTTTGCTGTCAGTCTAGCGCAGCAGCGGTTCAAACCAAGTGAAGACATCTTAGAGTCTATCGGTGGCGCAACACAAAAGAGGAATGCAAAATGATCTTTGGACAACCTTTCTTAAATGAACGAAATTGCACTTTAGAGCAGTAACAGAATAAAGATTGTCGCATATAAGTGAGGGAGCTCAAAAAGAAGAAATGCAACAATGAGCGCGACTTCCAAACAGCTTTGAAGAGGCGCCTCCTGACCTCAACTCAGAACGTTGGGAGTCGGTGGGCGGGAAAATTTGGAGGACCTCCTCAATTTCACTGGCACAATTTCCCACGAGGAAGCCGATTCTTGGGACTTTGGGGCGGGCTCTCCCACCTCTGGGCCTGAGGTCACCAAAGTTGTGAAAAAGCTCTTTGGGGGCAGTCCCCCAAGGAGGGTGAAAGTTCCTCAAGGCTCCGGATGTCGTGGGACTGCCTTGCCGGACACAACCTCTGCAACATCACGTGGACGACGGGTGCGGGGCCTCTGGATTGGCAATCCCGCTTTTTAAGAAGAGGCGCCAGAGGCCGTGTTCCAACTACAGGAGCGGCAACATTGATATGGGCGGCTTGGTTCCTCTGTGTCAGAGTTTGGCCGGCATCGCGAGAAATAAGGCGACTTTGTTTCCAGTCAGAGTTGGAATATGCCAAGGCTGCACTTTGTCATAAATTCTCTTGGTGACCTTGATGGACAGAATTTCTTGGCACAGCCAAAGCATTGAGGAGGTCCGGTTTGCTAACCGCAGAGTTACATCGTCTGCTTTTCGCAGACGATGTGATTCTGTTGGTTTCATCCGGCTGCGATCTTCCAACTCTCACCAGAGCAATTTGCAACCGAGTGCGAAACAGTTTGGGTGAGAATCGGCACCTCCAAACCTGAGACCGTCGTACTCAGTCGGCAAAGGTTGGAATGCCATCCTCCAGATCGGGAATGACACCCTGCCCCGAGTGTCTTAGGTCTCGTTCACGAGTGAGGAAAGAACGGTGCAGCATGCGATGCAGACTCTGTCGTGGTCAGGAAGGTGGTCAGCCTCAAGGCCAAGATTTCCATTTACGCTCGCTCGAAGGTCGTCACGAGCTGCGGGACGGAACCCAAAGAACAAGATTGCGGATACAAGCACTTGTTCTACGGGTCATTTCATCACTCAGAAGATATGAGTTAAAAAAAAAGGACTTCATGCCAATAGGTTGCCCAGTTACAGGGTTGAAGCTCGTTCAAGCTCCCCAACAAACGGTCTGTTCTCCAAAACAACAGTATGCCCACCCTTGTCTGAATATGATCATCGATCAACCGGACTTCTTGACACCTTATTCAAGTGCACTGATAACAATTTGTGTCCAAATGTACATGTTTGTTGGTGTGTAAATGTACAAAGTTTGTGGAGCAGAGATGAATCCATGACATGTGTCATCTATTTTGGGGCTGGAATGACGGAAAAAAAAAAAAAAAGCAGTCCTCTGAAGTTTGCTCCTGCGGGAGTGCAGTTTAGCAACGTTACACCGCAATTTCATCTCCCAGGCAGTCGGGAGTCACCTGTTTGTTCAGAACATTGAGCAGCCTCAGGGTCTCTGCCTCCGTTCCCCAACCAAAGAATTCCATCACCTCTTCTCCCTCCTCCTCCTCTTCCTCCCCTTCATCCTCCCTCTCGTCACTGTCATCCGTGTTGGACTCGCACTCCGAGACGATGCCCGACTCTCGAAAAGCAGCAAAGTCGCGGCAGCTCAGCGAATCGGCATTGCGAGCCGATAACTTTGTCGTGTCTCCGGGCATCTCCGTCGCCTCGGGCTCGTTGGTTTCCAAATGAGGGGGAGGCAAGGAGAGGGGAGGGGGCGCAGGCCCCGGGGGTCCCGGGAGAAAACGAAAACATTCTAATTTGAGAACACGTTGCTCCCTACCTAGCGGGCTTCCCACGTTCCCGTTGGAAGATGCGAATGCGTTCACGGCCACGTCGGTGGTGCAAAGCAGGGGGAGGTTCAAGGCAGACACCTCCGGTTTGGGCGTCGTCGGGTCACAGATTACCGGGGCCACCGAGGAGCGGAAGGTGATCTCCAACAAACTGTCCTGGGATCCCGCTGACAAGCGCAGAAAAGAGGAAGACGTCAACACAGTTAGACAACATTTCACCAAGCCCGGGCATAAACCGGCGCTGGATACGTTCGTTGCCCAAAGAGCGGAACGCACTTACGGCCGTCCGCGCCAACAAATGTCCGTGTGGAAGCGAGGAACATTGGTTCCGGGCGCACAAATATGGTTTTCAAATGATCCATTCATAGCTTTGAGAAGATTCATTTTATTTTTTTGTCGATCAATTTTTGTTCAGTTTTTAAATAAGGACTCAAAAATAATGACTGTTATTGTGGATCACATACGACCATTTGAAATTTTGGTTCCGATTTTAGCAAGCGTCATGGAACTTGACATGCTTGATTTGCTTTCGCGGGCCACATAAAATGACGTGGCGGGCCAGATCTGGCCCCCGGGCCTTGACTTTGACACCAGTGCCCTAAACGATATACTGCCATATAATACGTGACATAATACGGTCGCTACCGCAAGATGTTTTTGCTTTGACAAACGTGTCACGTTTCCTGAAAACGATTCTGCCACCAACGGCTCAAGCAAAAGTGAGTTCAAGTTTGACTTACTGGAGTTGGGTGCGGTGATTTTGGTTTCCAGTTCCTGGATCTGCTTGACCAGCAGCGAAATGTGCTGCAGCAGGTCTTTGTTTTGCAGCAGCAGCTGGTGAACTCGAGCCTGCGCCTCCAGTCGGGCCGTGGCCTCGGCGCTCAGCTGGTCTTTCAAGAGGTGCGCCTTCACAGAAAGAAACCAATCCTAAAATCACGCTCTGAAAACGTTCTCTGAATGTGCCAATATCTTCAAAACCCAGAAGGAAGACGCGCAGCCCCGGCGCGAACGGGCTGAGAAAAACGGAAATCCCCAAGCTTCATCCGGTGATGAATTTAAACCGTACCTAAAATTTTGGAGACGGTCTGAAAAAACCCGGAACGTCGACCGAACAATCTGAACCTGAATTGAACCTCTGCTGCGGCAAAACAAAGCCAAGGCGCCGTTGCCTGAACATTGAAATTCTCATTTCAAAGGCATAAAAGAAGAAAGGGCACAGATGAGACGATACACCTCGGTTCCCCCGGCCAATTAATGGCAGATAGGATTAAAAAAAAAAAAAAAAAAAATCAATGAATCAGCGAATGACTTCATCGGGACATTTATTGGAGAGCGGGAGCGATACTTCATCTGCTAATTCTCTTCTAATTTCATCACGCGACGTTTAAGCTCCATCTCTCTGTCTCTCGGGGGCACTGCTGTCTCGCGTTCCTTTCGCGGCGAGTGAGCTCGACGTCCTAATTCTGGAAGTTGCCATGATGCGTTTGCTTATTACGGGGGTACGATTTGAATATTGAGGCTCTGTTGCATCTGCACCGCAGAACGAGACCGGAAAGGCGTTCTATCCCATTCCATTCGGCTCTTTCCGTACGGCACTCCGTTAAAGTTGCGCTTTATTTGGTGGTCGGGTTGCAAAAGCCTGTGAAACTACAACGGGTTCATCAAATCCGACGGAGGTGCTTTGATCGCTTTGCCGACCACCAGACATCATGGCAACAAACAGCGAGTTAGAGTTTGATGCTATCGTAGACCCATGAAGTTAGCGCGCCATATTTTTTTGCGGTTGTTTTGCATAAAGCCCGCTGCCACACATTTCACTTGGGTGTAGCCTGTAGCATCATGCATGAACACACGGATTAGCTCTGGAATCACTGCAGTTATCCAAGTAATGGCAGAGCTTGCCAATTCATTCAAATCCTCCTTTACCCTAACACCTGAGAAAAAAAAAGTACCTGGAATTGAATGTCTGGACTCTTAAAAGACGGAAAAATCCGTCTTTGGGGTTGAATGAGTTGATTTGCGGTGTTAGCGCACAGGTCCATGTTTACTCAAGATTCGTAAATGATGGCAAAGGAGGTTCTTTGACAAACAGGCAACACAATTTGAGCCAGGACAACAACAACAAAAAAAAAAACCCTTATGGTTTTCGTGTGGTTTACTGCACTCGACGAAACTGAAGGTTGCATCAGCAAAAGCATAAACTTCAGCAAACCTGTGCCACGGCCACTTGCGTTTGCTGCTGTTGCTGCTGAAGTTGCTGTTGGAGGAGTTGGATCTGATGGTGAACGGACAAGGGGGCGCCGGGTGAGAGCGCGCTTGATGCGGGGAGCAGCAGCCTGGGGCTGGACGTCAGCAAGGAGGCTTCTTCGGAAATCTGCCGCCGCAGAGGCACACGTGAAGTCCGCGTCGTCGTCACCGTCGCCGATCAAAAAGGGAGTTCAAACCATTGGCAACTGATTTTGCCACACTTAAAAGCCCCTGAACGTGACACGCTTGCCACGCAACAAGGTCGCACTTGTGCAACCCGCGCTCTTTCCTTACCGTATTGCGTGAGCGGCTGAGGTCTGACGTCTTGGCCGTGGTGGCATCCAGATCGGTCACCCCCCGGTTCACGTTGAGCTCCTCGGCCACCGGGAGCTGGTTCGTCTCATCGGCATCGATGTCGGTCTCCTCCAGAACGGTCGCCGTCTTGTCCGCTCCACCGGAGTCGACTAAAAGGCACACGCACACGCGCGGATGAGCACGCACCCCTGCACGCGCACATGTGGTAGGCGGGAGCATGGACGCAAGCACGCATGGATGGATGGATGGACGGCAAATGAACACAAACAAATCAATCGACATCCACCAAGATAAAAGATACTTGAGAAGAAGACTCGGGGGCTTGATCGCATGCATGCTGAGTGAATTGGGAAGTTGAAATCTTGGTTCGAGTGTGTGTGTGCGTGCGTGTGTGTGATCGTGTTGCGCTTACCTGAAATGGAGGAGCCGTTTCCATTCTTTTCACTGTGGCAGTCCACCTGTCCATCCTTGTTGTGCTGTGCGTTCTTCAGACTCAGTTTGTGACAGACCTCAAATGCCTGACCAACAGTCCGGACAATGCGCATGGCCTGACTCTGTTGGGTCAGGAGAGAAGTTGCTTACACTCTGCCCGCCTGAGCCTTTTTACTAACCTTGTGGCCCACATCAAATATGATTTTGAGTCCTCTCTTTTGTTTTGTCATGTCGCAGGCCGCTGAGAAATGGATGGAGGGTCGCAAATGGCCCCGGGCCGTAGTTTGGACACCGCAGTTTTAGGATATGGCTCCAATCCTGGGGAGGTTTTTTTTTTTTTTTTTTTTTGCACATAACAGGGTGCTACTGCAGCGGTCACTACTCGGGCTGGAATAACGTAGCTCACATTTGTCAGGTACTAAATGCACACACGCACACGGGCGCGCACAGCGACGTTTTGTTTGACTTTCAGCTTTGTCCTTTTTCTGTTTGCTTTCCCTTCTGGCGATTGTTTTATGAGATTCAAAGATATGTCAACAAATGACTTGTTTTGCAACGTCTAAATGCTCCCCCCCCCCACACACCCCCCACGTGTCTTTGGCAGCACGTCAAACTCTCGGCGATTGCCTTCAGCCCGTCTTGCCACATGGAACACAGTGTGACATCGATTCTGTTCATGTTGGCTGCGAGCAGGAATGAAATCCGCAAATCGGTTTTGTCGAAAAATAGGACCCGGAGGGTAAACCCGAAGCAGATATAAGAGGAAGGGTTTCTATTTTAGGTTTAAAAAACAACTTCCTTCGTGGGTGACAAGGTGCAGTTTCAACATTTCCAGAGAAGCTTGTCTGTCACCTTCTTCTTGGACTTGAAAACATTACAGCGGAAGACATTGCTGTGGCCGTCTCGCGCGATGTAACTGAAGATCTTCAAATCCTGCGAGTCATGGGACACGTAGAATATCCTGAAAGAGGGGGAAAAAAAAGAATACAATTGAAATACGGAACGAGCAAAATCAGAGCCTGCCAATGTAAGACAGTGTGAGTGTATTTTGCCGACCAAAACGAAAATAGTCGAAACAACGTACCTCGAGGGACGTCACAAAACTGAACGTTATAACGGTGCTACGTTGCAACGATGATTTGATTTGCTTCCGTTGAACAGACGTGTTTTCGGACCGTGTGCCGCCGGAAGTCGTACAACAATGTACGAGTCGATCGCTCGTGTTGCTAAGCAACGGAGGGGAAACATTTTGTTCGTCAGCAAGGTCGCGGCGGTAGTTCGCTTTCCGCAGTTCGTGGTCACGAAGGCCTTTTCACGATTTGGTGGGGGGAAAAAATCGGCTCGTTTGGTCACCTTCATTTTTTTTTTTCTTTCAGGCAAATGCAACCAAAAAACAGGTAACCCGAGAGAACAAGTCCAACGGAAGGAAGGTACATCACATGACACGAGGATCCTAACCTCTTCCGTCCCAGCTTTGATTTTGAGCTCGCCCAAACGAGACAGTGAAAAGCGGCCAAAGCAGCGCGAACAACGTTCAAATAACGCCATTTCACGTTGTCTCGGAGGCCGGAACAGGGCAAATCGTAGCAACCTGTCGGACTAATGAAAAGTCAGCTTGCAATATTTGATTTGATGAACTTTGTGTTTGCGTTCGTACGCATCCAAGCCTTGTAGTTTGGAGCTCGGGAAGTCGGGGAACTTTCTGTGGCTTTTTAACATTTTTTTTTTTTTTTTTCCAGGAGGCCCGACAAGCTCCGGTCTTGTGGTACCGATGGCGTGTGTGTCAGCACTGTTTCCTCGCATACCAGGCATACATGCGGAGTGAGAAATGTGCCCGAGTACATCTCAACTCAAGTGGATTTCTGGAGCACTTTACAACAACCGCCGCTGTGTACAAAATGCTGCGCGGGGAGCTAAAAGAATTCATGCGACAAACAATAAAACACAAAATGAAGAACAACGACAGTAGAAAGCACTAAAAAACGGTCCAACTGCAAATCAAGTCTCACGCTGAGTCCGAAGCCAAAGAATTAAAATGAGTTTAAAGACGAGTTTTCAAGTCGGGGGCGGGGGGGGGCTTGCTGAATGTTCAGCGAGAGGCCATTCCAAAGGGAGGGAGCGGCAACGTTAAAAGGCTCCGTCCCCTCTGAGGCCCCGTCCGGTCCGCAGACCCGAGGCACTTTACTGTTATTTAAGGTATCGTGTCAAATCGAATTAGCAATGTGCCAACACGACACACGGCAACCAGATTTTGCAGTCTTGTTTTCAGTTTCGTGTCTCGGGACCATATTCAAGGGCCTGAGGTACGACCGGACGCCGTGTCATCCTCGACGTTAATAATCCATTTAAAAAAATGTGACGTGAGGAAGCAAATGTTCTCCGTGAGATGTAGTCGAGTGTTTGGATCGGCCTCTCGCTTCTTTCTTTGGTCTTCGGACACGCGCCCGCACGACGGCAACAATATGCCTGCCGCAGCCGCTCTCTTCCGCTGGCAACGTGAGAGCAGCTCAATAATTTTGATTGGCGTCTGTCACGTGGCAAAATTTAATGCAACGAATTATTCAAGCTCGAGTTCATGCTGACGCCAGATCATCCTTCTGCATTTTGATCGGCGTCTGTTTGTGGGTTGATGAACAGAATGACAGAGAAACGACGATGACCGCATCATTGACCACTCCCGTTCGTTTTTTTTTTTTTGTGATCTTCAGAAGGTAGTCCGGCCCCAAGACGCAACAGGGCGAACTGTGTGAATATGCAGTACCTCCCGAAAGACTGAGTCCATTCCCCGAGGGCCACTTGCGTGGCCCCAGACCTGAAGAGAGCTGATTTTTTGATGGCTCCTGTCACGTGGCAAAATTTAATGCAACGAATTATTCAAGCTCGAGTTCATGCTGACGCCAGATCATCCTTCTGCATTTTGATCGGCGTCTGTTTGTGGGTTGATGAACAGAATGACAGAGAAACGACGATGACCGCATCATGGACCACTCCCGTTCGTTTTTTTTTTTTGTGATCTTCAGAAGGTAGTCCGGCCCCAAGACGCAACAGGGCGAACTGTGTGAATATGCAGTACCTCCCGAAAGACTGAGTCCATTCCCCGAGGGCCACTTGCGTGGCCCGAGTCATGAAGTGAGCTGATTTTGTGATGGCTCTGCTCATTTTATTCTGTGATGGATTGTTGGCTGCCGAAGCCGAGCTGCGATGAATCGCAGCCTGAAAGGCGACACCCACGTGCACATTTTTTTACCGCAGCACTTCATCCGCTACATCTTAGTTTCATGTTAGCACATTAGCTCGAATGTTAACGCATTCAATGCCGGCTGGGTTTTTTTTTTTTTCATTTCAAGCAGAACTTTCACTTTGATGCAAATTTTTGGGGGGGGGATTTGCGATGTCTCAAATATCTCAACAACGCTTTCCTCAATAACAATATAAACAACCTAAAAAAGGGCACTCTGATTGCAAAATAACAGTTGATTAGAAGGTAAACACGACGCTGATGCATGAACTGTGCTCGACAGAATCTCGTTGAGCCGCAGACGTGACAAAAATGTCCACCATCCCATTTCAAGCGCGCACTGCGCGTCACTGAACACGGTTTGCGCCACCAAATGTTTCCAGAGCAGCAGGCACCAATTAGGGCGTATATTTTGAGAGACGTGGAGACGAGGAGCCAGTGGGTGAGAGCAGCAGAACATAAGCATTGATCAACGCCGCGGCCAAAAGTTTCAGCGGGGCTTGAAGGCGGGCGGCAAATGTGACCTCTTTGCTCAAAACAGAGTTAAAAGCTCTCGCTCCCAAAGACCCGAGCCGGATGTTTCTCTGTCTTGCCTGACAGCCGCTAAGTAAATAAAGAAGTGCTTCCACTCTGACAACAAATCACGGTTTAAAAAAAAAAAAGTTGAGATATTGCGAAGTGCATACATGTTGTCATTGAGCGGGAGCCCCAATACAAGACAGCAAAAAATAAATGAACCGGACCATTTTTGCAGCACTACGGAAAAGGCGACAAAGGAAAGTTGTGAAAGCGAAAGCGCATCGAGGCGAGGGTTCTCTCTTTTCGAGTTGAGGTGAGCCATGCCGCTCCATAATACGCAACGGCAACGCGAAGATGATGAAACGGCGAAAATATTTCACGCATTGACATTGAGTCTCTCATCTCCCTTTCACGCTGACAACGCTTGCAATTCCTTTCCTGCTCGATGACACGGCGAATGTCAAAAATTTTCCGTGCATACTGCTGAAAAATTAAGACAGCACATTTGCATTTTGCATCACCATATGAATGTGCTCTCTGTCAAGTCTTAACAATGTCTCAGCTAACGCAAAGCAGTATCACGGATATATAAAAAAAATGGTTAAACACCACGTTTGGTGATGAGGAATTCAAGCAAGATAAATCCCCAAAAAATGTAAGTTAGACGTAGTGAGATATAAAAATCAATGGTTATTTAAAGTACAGCATCGCAATTTTGCAGATTTTTAACACTAGCATAGTTTTTACATGATATGCCCCCGCATGTGGGAAAGGAGATCAACAGTCGCTGTCTGACCAGTTAGTGAACGCCACTAAAACAATGAAACACAAACATTTACAGTAGCGGACATCAAAACACCATCCCTCCAGGCCCCGCCTCTTAAAGGTTTACCCTGGCTTTGATATATTGGTTGAAAGAGTGCAAGCCGATAAAAGAAAACGATTTCTTTTTTTTGGTGTGTGTGTGTGTGTGTGTGTGTGTGTGTGTGTGTGTGTGTGTGTGTGTGGTGTCTCAAAAATCACAACTGTTCACCCATTTTGGGCCGTTCTGGAAGATGTGTTGTATTTTTGTGCAACAGCCCGCCGCAAAGTGAATTGCCGCCTCCATCGCACTTGAGAAGGTTACATGAGGCCAAAGTCTGCCAGTGAAAAAGCTCTTCAGTGACATTGATTGACAAAGCCCATCTGTGCCTCGCTCTTTCACAGGCACAAGGTAATTACATTCAAAAAAAAAACAAAAAAAAACATTGATGAATGAAGGAACACGTCGCACTTAATTTCTTTGTCATGGCCTTGTTTTTCGTTTTTTTTTGTTTTGTTTTTTTTTTGCATCGCATACCATTCGTGCCACCGACGTTTACGGTGTTGACGATGTGCCAAGTAGCTCAGGACGAACGCAAGACGGATCACCCTAATGATGTCATTCGAAACAAAAGCACCGCCGGAACCTCATCGATAAATGAACAAGTCTCAGAAAATGTACATCGAAACGAGTTTTGGGCATCTTACCTGTAGATGGGGTCCTGCATCACCATCATCTTATTCTCATCCCACATCCATTCCTTCTTCTGTAATCAAAATAAATCAATCATTAGAACTTTTGAATTCAATCAGCGTTTTTCCTGCCGTGCTGAGCGAGCGACTGATGGTCCTCTGAGGCGGCGTCGTATTTTAATTGCAGTTGCAGCGTTGCGCCACTACGGCGGCGCTACATCAACAGCAGCGCACGTTAAAGACCCGAAGCAACGGGTTGAAATTCAAACAAGCACCCGAAACATATCATAAGACGACCGCATTCGCTTTGTGACCAGATATGACCGAATGAAACTCATCAAAACACAACAAGCCGATTTTTCAATGATTACTTCTGCTTAAAGCGGCAAAGCAATTGCGACTTTCCTGAAAGCGGAGCCCGAACATGTTGCACCACGAGGGGAGCAGCAAAAGTCTTGAAAGGGGCAACGATAACACGAGGCTCTGACTTTGCAACGTGCAAGCGCATAATTTGGGAATTTGCTTCTTTTGGAATTGCAAACGCATGACTCACGGGAGTCCCGTGACATTTACTGCTTGCGACGATCAAGTGAGATCACAGAAAAGATTGACACACAGAGTGGCTCTCACTGAGCGAGACAAACCCACACACTCAGCCCCCACTCCCCCCGTCAGTCGGCCCCCATGGGAGTTCAATGTCACAATAATAAAATGTCAACCGAGGAATTATTCCGAGCGATTCCTATCTCGCTGAAGCTTTGTTGACTCAATATTTCAATCACTCCTATCTCGAGTCCGTCGTTGCGCTTGGACTCCGAGATGAGTTTGCGAGACTGCCGCCTGACATTTGAGCTGGCCGACGCGGACGGCTCTTCCGCCGCATCTCGGCCACACCGATGACGCTCATATTAACCTTTGAAAACAATCAATGACTTGAAGGTGGCTCAACCCTCATTAAAACAATATTCCACATTGATGCAACGCAAATGAGATCATTCGTACCGACGGACAGCGATCCCTGGCTGGAACGCGGTTCATTTTTCACGGCTTCGCTTTTTCACGGATTTTGTTTTTTTTTTTTTTTGTTGTTTTTTTCACAGTGCATTGTGTTCTGCATCCCGACTGGCTAAGGGACTGACGACTAATGTCAACAATCTCCGCGCCTCATCGCTGTACAGCCAGCCAATTTTTCTCCACGACATAACGTTTACATTTTTGTTTTTTCAAAATGCAAAAGACACAGAAGGGCTCCGACTGAACCTGTCCAGGAGACAGCCGTGCTAAACAGGCTCGCACTGTGTACACAACAAGGACAACGAGAAACGTCACTCACTTTCTTCTTTTTTCGCAAGGCCACCTTGACGCCCTCCACCGACACCACGATGCTGACCTTTTTCTTTCTGATGTTTTTCACCTTGAACTCATACTGCAAAGAGAAGAGACGTCAGACATGAACGCGGGCGGATTCTGGCGTCGTCTTGAGCAAAGGAGAGAGCGGAGAGAACGCACCCGGCACCTGCGGCTCAGCTACAATATAAGGCAAATTCTTGGATTTAAAAAAAAAAAAAAAACGTTGCCACATGTTGGACAGGATGTAAATGAGGAAAATAAGACCGCGTTCCTCGCACCGCAACTGCTGAATAGTGTCACGCATGACATGTCATGACAATTAGCAGCAGCAAATTAAAATTTTGTTCGGTGCTTGGCTTGACTCTCCAAGTGCACAGCTTTAATCAGGCTGATTTTACATACATACATACATACATACATACATACATATTTCTCCCCCCCCCCTCCTCCCATCAAACACGGAATCCTCGTGTGAGCCAATAAAATGGTGTTGTGACGATGATTTCTGGGTCATTACCGCATGGCTAAGACGTCTTTCTTGTGAGTGAATTTATCGCAGGACGAGACTCAAGCCGTCGTCACCAAGCTTACAAATGGCCAAGTTGGAAGTCGAGTTCGGGCTGTGTCCCTGTCACAAAGAGGACGCCATATATTCCAAGTCTGGAACCCGCCTGCGCTCTCATTAACAGCCATGACAAACAGCGCATTCGCTCACGTTCTCAGCACCTATCTTGATCACGATGTCCTAATGGTATTCCGAGTACCTCTCCATTTGACAGAAGATTGTCTGTCAAAGTCACGGAACAGAGTTCGGCAACGCGGGTGACGTATGAACCGAGTTCATACCTTCACCTCTTATGAATACAGTGACCAGCTCATCATGAAAAGCAGGTCCCGCGGTGCTCCTTATGAGACAGGAGATTAGATCAGTCTGCGAGAGAAGAAGGTGCCCGGAAATTGCAGTTCCATGAGAGAGTCTTGCTCATATACACTAAATGGTATTTATTCAATCGGGATCACTTCAATTTGATGCTTAAAAAAAAAAAAATGTCTGCATACATATGTGTCAGAGATTTTCTCGGACGAAACAATTTTGCTCATAGATTCCTCTAACAATATGTTTAATAAAGATTTTTTTTTTTGGTGTGGATGTCAAGGTCAAGGTCATCTTTATTGCCAAATATGCTCGATGTGCAACAGACAGCACAGAAGAAATGTCTTTCCTCTCAGTCCTCAGTGCAAACATGCAGTGCATCGAAACACAAACAGCAGCTAAAGATAAGGCAGCGAAACTAAACCGTATGAAAAAAAAGATCATAGATAAATCTAAACAATGTCAACAATAATCACAATGAACAGTAAACAGACACCAAGGGCACCTCAAACCTTGTAATTTTTTTTTTTTTTTCCATGAATGCAATTCAGTGAGGCTATTTCGAGGACTGTAAAAGGGCCTCCATTAGCTGGAAAATTGCCGAAACAGAAAAAAAAAAAAAAAAAAGCTTTCTGCCAGATTTTAGCCATCTCTTTTTGCATGAACACATCAAAGCGGATGACGTTGGGATCATGCGATGCTTTCGGACAAAATGATGTCACGATCGCTTGGCATGACTTCATTCATCTTTGAACATTTCCAAGTAAGCGACTCATCAAGTCGTCACCTACACCAGAGCCCTGGCGGCACTTCACTCCCGCACTCATCCATCGCCACTGGCTTCCTGCTCCTGATCTACAAAGCACTCCATGCACCACCCCCCTCCCCCTCCCCCAACACCAACAACAACAAGTAATGAATACATGACATCTAAGAACAAGGTTGACTTGTAGATCTGCGATACCGAGGTTCACACGGGCCAGCCATTTTGTCTGCTGGGTCTGAAATGGGCAGTGGCCGGAAGTGACTGTAATCCCTCATTGGGACTCATTATCTTGAGTCCCTGGAGAGATGGCGGATTAGTGGCTGGTAGCGGCGCAGTGACCAAAGAGGCTTATTTCTTTGACAGTCGTACACCATGGGACAGCCTGGGGGTGGAATGAGTATACCGTTCATTTTAATTCTTTTCAAATGTATTTTTACGCCTGCACTAAACGATCAGGTTTTTGCCAACGTATTTTTACGTTTGAGCGTGACATGAGTAAAGAGAACGCCGAGCTTAATTGCCGTGCATCTCAATGAAGAGCATTTTTATCAAAAAAGAGATTTTGCTCCTGCAAAAATAGACATGCCGAGCATGAACAAGCATCCAAATGTGTTTGCAGACGGTGTCAAGTTGATGTTCAAGGTGTGACTTTCATAAGCCTTCGTGAAACATGGACAATCACCACTGCGGCAAATTTGAAGACCTTGAAGTGCGGAGCGATCGTGGCAAGAGCATCCACTTGACTCTGAGGCCAAATGAGCAGGCTGTGCAGATGTATTGTTCTACCTACCCCCCCCCTATAAACTCCCCTTCCTGAAAAAAAGCACGAGCACACCCACGCACACACTACCCTTCCGTTTTAACACTGAAAGATGGGTGAGTGACAATGTTGACAATGACAACGGACAAAAACATTGCTTATACAATTGAACCCGCAGCAGAGCTTTCCACAACATCCACACGCAGTACCATGCATGAACTTGGACGGGACACGATGGCGCTGTTTCTCTTCACGTCCTGCCAGTTGCTGGTGTTGGCAAAGCACCGGAAGTCTTTGATTCTTTTTGCATCATGTGTCTTAACGAGGACAGCATCGTACATCGGTAGCATCCGCAAAGCGCCGCTGCTTCCCCATCTGTCAGTTGTCCGAATCGCTTCTCCTGCATTACTTTGGAAAACTGCAATTCGGAAACCGTTACGACAGCCGTCCTCTGCGATGAGCGACAGCGGCAAATCAACCGGCGTAACGTGGGCCAAGCCACAAAACTGCGGATGGAATGCTGAGGATAACCCAAGCGCGGTTGGGATGTGAAGCCGCCCCCTGGGGTGTTTTCGCAAATGCAGAGGCAGGGAGACATCCTGATGCAATTTCATTTCGTTGCTGTGCAACACCAACTTTGCATGACAAACTTTAGATGGACAAGCCAGGGTACCTCGAATTTCCACTTTTTTCAATAGTCGCTTTATTTCAAGGGCCAAATTGCCCTCATACTCTTATATGATGTTTTTGACAACCGTGTGTTGCAGGGCCCCGGTTGCTTTTGTGCAGGTCAACATCCACGGATTGCGGATTCCCTCTTTTCGAGCCACTGGTCGAGAGATATGAGGAAGACCAAATTGCAAAAGACTTCGCTCTGAATCTTTGCAATCAATTCATTGAATGCCTGAGTACTTTTATCCTGTTTCATGAATTTTTCCAACCCCCCCCCCCCCCCCCCTTGAATGGAGGGTGGTCTCCAAATGCCCACGTACTTTGCACCCGTCCACCTCCCATATGGACTCCAGCCATGTAAACTTTCTACTTCCAATAGCCGGGAAGCAAGTCGACTGTGTTCACACCCACAACGGCGCAAACAACCGCCAGTTTCTACCATCACGCATCTGAAAAAATATCAAAAGCTCAACAAATTCTAATTGACCGTTTTGCACATTTTACATCCACTTTCCTGCCCGAAACGGTAAAATATCAAGATTGGGCTGACTTTGGAAGAGTCCGCGTTCAAGCACTTCATGATGCTGGCTGCACATCTCAAATGGATAACAGTGATGAAAAGAAAAAGAACTCCAAAATGTGTGGGGAGCCAGTGAAGAATAAATGTGAATAAATGTTCTCATAACGGGAGCATAAAGACTGTACATCCATCAATATGAAAAATCAGAATGAGATCGAAGCCTCTTTTTGTCAAGACACACACATGACATCCATCCGTCTGTCCTATTCCTCTCTCGGCCAATCCCATTTGTCTTTGGGGGAGAGGCAGGGTACACCCGAGACGGCTTGACAGCCAATCAGAGGGCATATAAATGACACATACGGCCAAAGTATTATCGAGCGAACAACATTTGCAGGTTCGGTGGATGAGAAAAGTTTCTATCCAATGCGGCAGTGCCAATAGCGAGTGAGGCCAAGAGCCGCGCATACGGCTTAATGGAAGCGTCTGCGAAGACGAAAAGGTTCGATTAAAACCATAATGGAAGGCAACATAATTCCATCTCACGCTCACCCACTATCAAGCCACCCCCCTCCTCACCCCCCCTCACACACACACACACACACACACACACACACAGACAGGAACACTATCGCCTCATCATGCAATTTCTTGAACTCTCTTTCATCCACCCTGATCTAAAAGCCTTGGGAATCATTTGGAGCACTATTAGCAGTGGCGTGGTGATAATCCCTTGGGGTAATCCAATTATTATGTACATCAAGACAATATGGCAGCCAGCGTGATTGCTGTTGCAAGAGAGATTGAGCGTCAGCATGTGTGAAGACTACAGTGACGACGCAAGTCAACGTCGCACTGGGCCACGGATGCCGTCAAACAAAAAACCCATACCAAGAAATGACACGACTGTCCGTTATGAACAGAATGAATATGCGCAGTACGGTCGAACCTCGCTACAACGTACCTCGAGGGACGTCAGGAATCTGGCCGTGATAACGGTCGTTCGTTCGAACCAGTTCTCCAAAAAATGGCCGCCAACTACGGTGTAATACAGAATGAGCATTTGTAGATGTAAAAACTATTTGACTGGCGCCGCTTGGCAGCATTTTTCACAGCCCCGGTTTGTTCAGCGGAGATGTCAGCGCTGTTGGATAGTCTGAGTCGTGAGGCTGGATGGATGTCGCATCTATCTTGAAGGTGACTCAGGCACGACTCAGTCCTCGTCTCTCCTGAGCGGGGTTTCGGTTAGCTCAGCACAAGGAAACGGTAGAAATGCAAATCCGTCCAAGAAGGCTCGGCCAAATCTCCACGCGGCCGATTTCCTTCCATAAAAACAAGATTGGCCCATCATGTCCTTCAGGTAACGCAAAAGAGCCCTCTTGGAAAGTTCCATTTTCCGAGGAGCTGACTGCGAGATTGAGACGCCTCCACGGCAAGGAGGCAGGAAGCGGAAATTGTTGTCGGGATGAGATAACGCGCAGGACCGGGGCCGATTGATGGGGGCAGCTTCCAGGTCAAGCTTGGAAGCAGATTGCCGCAGAGAGCGACAAAGTCATCATCCCGCGGGAACGATTTTGCCTCATGGAACGGCACAAATAGCTGACCTTGTCAAGAAATTTGGATGACGCGAAAAGTCGGCAACATTTACAAGACAGAAGCTCTGATTCCGAAGTGTCATTTGAACGCTTTCACAGCCTGCCGACGGATAAACGCGAGCTCCGGCGTAGGCGGGAAAGTCTCAGCAATGGGAAGCATGCTATGTATAGCGGAAGCATGCATAGGGGGGGGATAAGCTATCGACTAACAATTGAAATGGTGGCTGCTGGGGCTGGGGGAAGGGGA